GGGGGGGGGATGGGAAGGCCCCTTACTTCCCCCCTCGCCCGGCCCTTGGATCCTCTAATGCTTGCGATCAGAATTGTTTCTTAATTTGCCAGTTTTGCAAGTAGTTATGGCGCTCTTTTTAAAATGCACTTCTCCTCCCGCCCACTTTCGTACAGTCAGGCATCTTTTTGGATTGGGCAACGGGCGCACATCGTTTAAATAGAATCGAAATTGGTGGATTTGTTGGACAAAATTTGTCTAGATGTGGCGTGGATTGCACTGCTTCAAAAGTTTTGGCGACGAGAAGGGAGGGTGAAGTACCGTTGACGTGGAGTTATGATTCGAAGTGAACCACGGTGTAGTCCTTCGTGAGTTGAAAGGGTGTGGGTGTGTGCTTATATAGATTGTACGAATGAGCAATCTCCAGAATCGACAAAAGTGGGAATGCTTCTTTGGAGCAGGAGGTCCAGAATGGCGGAGGTCAGGCTTACTTGAGATAAAAGACAGGCAGTCTGCAAAGTTGTCGTAGTTGACCTATGATCTCTGCGTAATAGATTTTGTACGGTTAACAGCACTGAAGGAATTATAGAACTCAAATAAGGAGAGTCTAAAAATGCGAGAGATATGCGTTTGAATGATGCTTGCTTAACATGCACCTCTAATGCTTGAGTCTGCTATTTAAATCCTTGCATGACACTTCTTTGGAATTGTGAACTTTAGCAGTATAAAGACTGCCGGATCCCACAAAACAGGATAGATCTTACAGGGATAATCCTTATCCGGCTTTAGACGTTCGTAAATCCATCCACAGATCAATCATACGAAAGGCGAAAGCACTAGCTGCAAGTTTGATTTCCCTACGTAGCACCCGCTCGCACCCCGAGTATGCATTTTCAACAGCGAATCACCAAATTGCTTGACTGCACCGGTCGATTGGTGCACTGTTCTATTTATTTTTACTGGGTTTGCCCTTCGTATATCCTCCCTTTTCTTACTGGTTTCTCCAGGATGGCTCTCCACACTCATCTTGCACTAAAAGAAACACCACGTCAGTAAAAAGTTCATTTTTCTGGCAATACTTTCCGGTGATGATATTTGCCAAGAATACCAAGACCGCTTGGGCTAACAGAGCGGGTATTCCCTGTTGATAGGAAATGACAGTGAAAATTTATGGATTGGTTGTAGCGGTCAATGCCGTACAAATCTCCCCTCCAAAAAAAAATGCAATAAAGTCGCGAATTTGTTCACACTGCTGATTCATTTTGGAGTAGTCTCGAGCTTCAACATTCACAGTGTTTATTTTAGAATGCATTTGGCGAAGATCTGGGCTCTGATCTCTGGAAGTACCTTAGCGACGGAGCATCCGAAAAGACACAGATGGATGCAGCAATGTTCAGCAGACGATTCTCACCTTTGCTTGGTACTTGACACTTAATCATTGTTCCTCTAATTCGGATCACTATGATCGCTCGGATTGTCGAAGCGACTTGTCACGTTGGGGCACCTACGTTAGGTCCAACGTGATCAGAATTGTCTGTCACCTGCTTGTACTGCTTCCATTTCCTAGCATTTTATCTTACAGGATTTGTCAGAGTAGTCGTTTTCTTCCATTCGGAAAAAATCCGCTGGCGATTGATATTTTACATTTTGTAGCCAGTCGAAAATATGTCTTATTAGCAGTTCTTTTACCTTCCTTCGCCATCGTAATGATGCACTGCACATCTTTTATCTGTCTGAGCTTCTGGACTACCCTGTGATCGAGCAGAAAAAGGCTCCAAGCATCTTTCTTCGCTTTACCGCTATTTTAACTTGTTTTCCGATTCTTTGATAATGAAACAATACTAAAAAATATTTGTTAAGGTTCTTCTCCGAGCAGTTGCTTCGTGGAATATCTGCTGCCAGCTGAGCATCTGTTACGAATTTGTGCACAGTGCGCTGGTATCCAGCCCGATGAATGCGATGAAGATTTTGTCGCAGTTGTAAGCAGTGAAATGGTCAGTATCCAAATCTCAGTTTGCACTGAAGCGAACGCTGTCTGATATACATCTCTTCACTGCACTTTCTCCATTTTCAGGAAAAAGCGGGAAGCAGTGCAGAAGCGTTGCTTTGCTGGATAAGCAACACATGTCCACATTTGTGGGATTGTGTAAAAAGCCGACTCGAAAGCGTTTTCTTAACAGTGGACCCGACAAATGTTATTCAGGTTATCGTGGACCAAGTCTACAAAATTTCAACTTTCAGCGAATTTGAGAGTGGTAAGGGCGGCGGGGAGGTGAAAAGGGAAAGAGACAATTTTTTTTTTTCTTCATAGAGTCTAAGATAAAATTTTGCTACTAAAAAAACAGGGTTCAGAAGAGTGTTTGTTTATTGCACATGCGTATTGGAGTGCCCTTTCTGCAGAATTTAGTACCCAAACAATAATCGGAACTTGGAACCGAGCCAAAGAGAAAGAACTGGGTAGACAGTAAGTAACATATCATCTGTCATGAAAACAGCAGTTTTCATTTTCACCACGCTATCGGCCCTGTTCCTTGTATTATAAGCTGCGTGCCCTTCAAGGTGGAATAAGCAATGGCCCAACGGGTTGCGGATTCGTCCTCTGTATCTTACCACCAATATTTTTGTGCCTTTTTCTTTTCAAATTGCTCTGACTAGGGCATTCCAGCACCTCATATGTGTCACAGAAGAGGGATTGTTGCAGATGCTGGATAATCGCTCAAAACTATTGTCACCGTTTAAAATGTGGTTCCTGCAGTGCTGTCTTCCGGACGTATATTTTGTTAAGGTCAGTAGCTTTAGTTTATTTTAGCATCTTCAAGTTGACTTTTGTACACTGCTAACGCTTGTTTATTGTGCAGATGTTGCATCAGAGCGAAAATACATAAAGAAAGCAGCCG